AGGCCTGTTGTGAAGAGGAGCTGGATCAAATGTGATTTCCCCAGCCTTAGTTTGGACAGCCTTCCCTTTCATACCCAATTCCAGAGCAGGGCCTTTCTTCCTGTCTTCCTTTCTTTTGGGCTAGAGGAAATCATGGGCAGCATGACTCTCACCTATTCCAAAGCCTGCCATTGCTTACCTGGGCACACCTACTATCTTTAGCTCTGGTGTTCTGTAGGTAGTGGGATTGCTGGATGAGATAGGCTTCTCCTGTGGTTGCTTCTGAGTCCTGTGGCTTTCATTGGACAGTTCACAGTGGCGGCTCCTGGTGTCCCTTCCTTTCCCGCTTTCTTGTCTCCCTCACTGTTAGAGATCTTGAATGACCAGCCGGTGTGGATTCTGAATACTGATTCATCACGCCTTTCAGAGGGTTCCTAAGCTGGGAGAGCCGCCAGTGGGATCAAATTTTCATTTCCTGAAACTTCAACCGAACCTATAACTGGTAAGATAGCTCAGAGCAGTGAGGAGTAGCTGCCATTGAGAGTAGAGAAACCAGAGGAGCGAGAATGTGTTTGCTTAGGCAGGACTCCTCTGAAAGTAGTCTCAGGAAGGTGCCGAGTTTTTTCCTGCTTATTAGACAAGAGCACAGAACTTATTGTGTTGATGTCAAACCTTAGAATCCTCTCTTCACATACAGAGTCAACGTAAGAAAAGGTCTATTCATATGTGCAACCATTCCAACTGAAAATGTTGAACTGTTATCTGAATGTACGAAATGATGAACCTCCTCTTCCCTGTGTACCTGTCAATTTCCTCTCTGCATACCTAGAGAGGTTTTGGCTTTAGTTTTTAACCTGAAAAAATGCTTGACGCTATCAATATGACCTGATTCTTACATTTTTATCTGTACATGAAAAGTAAATAAATGACTTGGTGCATTTTTATCATGACCTGTTTCTCCAGATCAGAAAGCCATAGTCATAGCTTTATTTATAGCAGATTGTTGGTTTTAGGTTTCATTTATTTATTTAGTTTAGTTTAGTGATTCAGCTACTACTTTTGCTTAGGAGACGGAAGAGCAGAGGTAAGTAGAGCTGCCTCTGCCACATTCAGCTGCTCCGAACTCCGACTGTGAATCTACTTCCTGTAGGTAGCTTGAGAGTACTTACCAAGTGCATATCTGCAGATGCCACAAAACAGTCCTCCACCCCCTCAGCAGGTTGTTAGACATTTAACAGCTTTGCAATTATTTCTGTTTCATGGAGGTTTGTGGAGTATTTACTGTATGCTAGGCACAGAGCATTTCAGTAGTAATTACTCATTTAATGCCCCATAGGCCTGGAAGATGGCCTAGAAGGCTCAGGAACCTGATAGTTTGGCCTGTCATCTACATTTGCAGATGAGGAGACTGGAGCACAGACACGGGGACTTGCCCTAGGTCACAGCTGGTAAGTGACTGAGCCTGGGTTTGAACTCAGAGTCAGGCCCAGAGGTCGTGGGCCTAACTATGCTCTTTGCTGCCTGCCACTGTTTGAGTGCCCACTGTGTGCCAGACTCTCTACAGACTGAAAACATCCAGAGTCTAATCTGGCTAGATTCAAGGCCCAGAGCCTTCTCCTACTCCTGTTCCCACCTGTTCCAGTCCCCAGCATGGCCTGGTGAACAGGTGAACTCAAAGATCATTTCTGGAAATAATCTCTGGTCATTTTAAGGCAAGAGGGGAGGGATGGAGAAAAGTTCTTCATTTGTTCATGAGGGGGTGTTAAAGAAAAAGTTATTCAATAGCAACTGTTAAAGCACAGAGGGCACATTGTTCAGGAGTATCGCAATGGGGACAATGACTACAGCACTGTGATTTTTTAAAATAATATATTTTATTTTCTTTTAATTTCTTTTATACGTTCAATCACTATACATCTCTTAGCTTGTAAAGTGAATTTTCCAACATGAATACATTTCCCACCCGTCCAGTTGGGGATACTATACACGTTAACAGATAATAATCCATTTCTGTGTCATATAAATATCTTGCCTCTCTATTTTTCTCCTTAATGTCTTTCCTCACACTCCCCTCCTCCTTCTGCCCTCTTCCCACACTGTATCCAGTATCTATAACCATTTTCCATATTTCTATATCCTCTAATTTTTCAGTTTCATTCATAGAGTATGGACAGTTAGTATATATATTAAATGGAGACATAATTTCATAGCTTGGCTTGCTTCACTCAGCAGTAAATAATCCATATTCATCCACTTCCTTTTTTTAACTTTTTAAAATATATTACTAGTATTATTAATTAATATTTGTACATTCAATCATTATACATCATTTAGATTATAAGGAGATTTTTTTTTTTTTTTTGGAGAGGTTTTTGCTATAGGGAGCGTGCACTCACCAGAAAGACAGAGAGAAAGCAAGAAATCCCCTCCCAGGAGGGATGGCCATGCCATATTCCCCTCTCCTCCATTCTCCTCTTGGGATTTTGGGCATGCACACACATGTGCCTGGCATGAGTTTAAGCCACCAGATCCAGGATTTGAACTGCAGTTGACTACATGGGAGTCCCAGGACATAGCCATTATCCCAACTGCTGGTCCCAGATTGTAAAGAGATTTTACCCAACATTATATATGCCACACACCAGGTGAGTTGAGAATACTGTCCATGACATCATCAACAGGCAACAAACCATATCTGTATCCCACAAATGTCTTACTTCTCCATTTTTCCCCAAATTTCTCTTCCTACACGCTACTCCTCTCCCACTTTCCTTCCACTTTGTCTCCAGTGTCCATAACAGCTTCAATGCTTTTATGTCCTCCAGTTTTTCAGTCTCTACCATAGAGTGTAGACAGTCAGTATATGTTAAGTAGAGACATACAATGTCTCTGTTTCATAGCCTGACTTGCTTCACTCAACAATAAATCTTCCACTATCTGTCTTCTTTCTACCAAATGCCAGGGTCTTACTATTTTTTTTTATAGCTGAGTCATATTCCATGGAATATCGCAATGTGATTTTTGCAGAGAAGAGAGGATGGGCCCAACTCCAAATACAACATGGATAAGTGGGAGTTTACAGCTAAGAAACAAGTGGGATCTGTGGATGGAAAAGCACTGAATGGAAACATCAAGAGCAGGGGATTCTGGCTAACTTGCCTGAACAGGGTCCTTGCTGAAGACAGGCCAGTGATCAGACTGCTTCTGGGGGAGATGAAGGATAAGGAACCTGAGCAGATAGACAGTGACCAGGTATCAATGCTGAGGGGCTCCTTGCTGAACTGACTGAGCAGGGTTTTTTGCTGAAACTATATTTTACGAGAAAGTACACAGATCTCCTGGAATGTTCAGAAGCCTGATAAATTTAGGCCAAGTAAAGAATGTTTGTCAGCAGGGAACAGTGACAAAATGGGGACTCTAAAGCATTTCATGTTGATGGTATCTCTAGGTATTATGGTTGACTGTTCACGAATAGTGGCCTACAAAACAACCCATAGCTGTGTTTTTCATTACGGCCGATCTTAGAAATGATCAAAATAGTTGGCTCTGAATATCTTTCCTTTTTTTGGATTGAAGTTGTAAGTGGAATGGGTAAGACTAGTTTATAAAATCTTTTACATATACATTTATTGAAAATTGGGAGAGGGAGGTTTCAGGACATGAACCAAGGACCTTCCCATGCCGGGAAGGCCCAGCCATGTTACCACTGTCCCACCATCTGGGCCTTCATGGCATGGGAAGGTCCTTGGTTCATGTCCTGAAACCTCCCTGTATACCCTGGGCATGTGCATGCATGCTGGGCTGTCTGAAGCTAAGAGTGGATTATAGTGTATGGATCCTGTTGGGGACCTCTTGCCTCTCTCATGAAATAAATAAATAAACTTTTTAAAAAATTGGGTGTTCTCATATGGTTTAATTTAAAAAGTTAGGTGTGATCACATCTAGGATTAAGTTCCAGACCTAGACCACCTGCTCCATGGCTGGTGGCTGTACACCTGCACTTGTGGGTGTTCTGCAGGGTAAGGATCTGCTTGCACCTGCTGTTTCTGGGTGCCTGGCACTGAAGTGCTCCTTCCACACCCTCTCATTGAATCCTCAACAAGACAGTGCTGATTACTAAGTCCATGTTTCAGAGGAGGAGCCTGAGACTCCAGCAAGGCTGTTACTTGCCGAATGATGCCTCCAGAAGGGGCATTGCCAGTAGTGGGCCTGATGTATTTGCTTCCAGGGCTGCCCTTAACTTCTGCTGAACTCAATGGGTGTAGAAGTCACCTTGGTGGTTCTGGCTGTGATTTTCTTTTTGGTTGGTGTAGCATGAGGGGAAATCACTGCTGCTGGTGAGAGATGTGTGAAGGGCAGCAGGACTCAGGATGCAGCCCAACAGCAGATGAACCTCTGGGTGCTGTGAGTCCCAGCACTCCCTGCGACCCTTTTCGACATCCGAGTCCTTAAGGCTGTCCCTCCTTCCCAGCTAGGATTTCCTGTCCACAGTCCTTAAAGTTGCACCTGATTCCCCTTACCCTGGGACAAGTCTGGATCTCACCTGAGGATGCTGACTCTGTGAGCTCCTTTACTGTAAACTCAGGATACATAGGGTGTTCCAAAAGACCATAGAAAACGCATATTATGAAAAAACTTCATGGATTCTAACATTTCTTTGCATCAAAATAAACTTGTATTTTAATTTTTTGTCCCTTTGTGCAAGTGAATCCCACACTGCTTCAATATGAAGAAGTGTAGGG